TCTCCAAACTTGTGATATTTAATACAAAATTGATGACAAAGCAATAATAACCTACTGTAAAACATAAGAACAGCTGTCACTGGGCTAATTGTACTGGAGAGCTTTGAGAGGCTTTTACTGGCAACCTCACACAAAGCCTCAAAATGCCTCAAGGACCGTCCAAGACAGTTATCACATAAAGCTATCAACAAAGCTCTATGTCAAAACATGAGTCACAATGAAATTAACAGGCATGGTTTTACGCAGCCTCGTAACGTAAAGCATAAAAACACCTTAAAGATGTCTTGATCGCTGATCTTGTGCCCTAAGTTGACCAAATATTTTTCCAGCATGTGCCACCATCTTTAAAACACTCGCAGTTCTGACGACATGACTCAAATTCTAAAAGCTCTTGCTAAGTTAAAACAACAAAAGAAGCAAAGTCGTTCCCAAGAAACAGGACGGGGTAAATGTTTACTTACTAAAAGAGGACACAGAAGGAAGATGGTGAAAGTGTCGGTCAAATGTTGGTCACATTGCTCCGTGTTACTAGATTTTCATTACTGTTTTAAAAAAGAGGGAATTGCTATTGAAGGTCAACAGAAGGGAGAATCAGTATGCTGAAGCCGTTTCTCTGTGTATTTTACTTGCTTCGCTTCAGTTTAGGACAAGCTCAGTTGAATCAGCCATCCGCATATTTTTGTTTACTCTGACCCTGCTGAAGCGCCAGTATGCCAGTATATGAGATAAAAGGCAACGATATCATTTAAAATGCTTTTACTTTTTCACAGTTTTGACTAAAATTCAACCTACGGCTTAAACCAAATGGGTTTTTTCTCACAAAAATGCAGATGGCCTGCTTTGTGGGGGGGCAGGATGATTAGTTTGTGAGTTGTTTTACAGGCAACATTACCATGTCATTGGACTGTGCCAAAATCACAGTGATCATCTAATGAATGTCTTCCTCAAGTCTGTTTTGCACCGAGAAGCTGAGATAAAATACTGGAATATAAAATTACTGCCTTTCAGTCCGACTGCCTGGCAGCCTGCCACATGAAGCTCCTCAAATTCATGAGGAAGTCAAAGGAGAGAGGATTGGATGAGAATAATAGGGTATAATATCCTATTTTCATATGGCGCGTATGCTATATCCTCAGTCATTCAGAAGCCTTCTTGTACTTTGGCAGAGATGTTCACATACTACGCAGCTATACGTGCCGTGCAACGTAATTGCAAGAGAACATGCAAAATAACAACATATTTCCCCCCTCATACCCTTGGATTTGGAGGACAGATGATGAATCAGACCCCAATGAATGACAGCACTTGTGATCTCTTTTGATTAGCCGCATACATCAGGCTACTGGGGGAAGAGAGCAAAATGTGAAATTTACTGTATTTCAAAGACTATGGCCGACTGCTCACGTAATTCATGCAGAACCTGGGCTTCACACGGAGAGGGTCACGAACTGAACAAAGTGTTTTAGTGGACACAGAGGATATATGACATTCTCCCCTGCCCACACAGCCACAAGAAATTAGCATACCTGAGATATGATGTAGGAATAAAAAAATGTCAAAAAAAATCACTGGAAGGAGACTTTGAATGAGAAGCCATTTACGTTTCCTTTAGCGGAGTGGACTGGCATGTAGTATTTCGGAAATATTTTCCAGCATCTATTTAGGGACAAGTGTCATCCTGAAATGTGAGGAGCCGCATAAACCCAAACAGCGAGGATAACTGTCAGAAAAAGAGAACGCATTATACTTTGGCTCAACTCTTCCAAGCAGACTCAGCTTTGAGCAGGGTAAGTCTGAATAAATACAAACAGCTTGCAAGAGGAAAGCAAGCACACTGTGTCCATGTCTGCCTGTTATTTGCACAATGTAGCTGTGTAATCATTAACTTTTGGGATAGGCCACACAAAAAGGGAGTAAAGGTTCCAAATTTACAACCTCTTTATATTGACACATCCACCACAAGGAGTGTTTTCAGGAGCTGCAGACTATTGAGAGGAGTGTTTCATTCCTCTGAGGTGACTTAAGTGGAAATAAATTAATTTATGCTTGTAATCGAGGTACCACGGTGGCGCGCAACGGGGAAGTGTTTTGAATTTAGATGACATGTTTGTATGCAGAGGTCCTAAGGTTGCGATGGGTGTGCGTGTCATGCGGTAAAATAGGCGGGAAACTCACTTGATAAAGCACCGTGCTCCCTCAAACGTATATCCCTCCTCCCATCCGGTGGGTAAGTCTGTGAAAGAAGGAAAGGTGGACAAATATGTGAACAATCATGCAGCCATCAGCCACATTAAAAATCACTGAGAGGTGAAGCAAATAACATTGATCATGTCATTACGATGCTATGTTCTGTTGGGGTTCTGTTGGGCCTCTTGAGTCCTGACATTCATAAAGATGCAGACCGAGCACACACCACCATGAAAAAGACATTTCCTGATGGGACGACTTGCCCTGCCAGACTGCAAATACTTCTTGTGAATGGTCTTTAACCTCTTAAGACCCGAACTCTTCCAAAGCATGCATTTTTAATTTCTCTTTGATATTTGGGCATATTGGCACTCGATGAATGTAAAAAACAAAGAATTACCAGATTTTTTTTAACCTTATTTTTGTTTCTAAGAAAAATGAGAGCCACATATGAGGATATTCGTTTAAAATTTCGATAGAACAGTGGCAGTATAATGTCCTCCTAAGTGGATATCAGGCCCTTGCAGAGTAAAATTGAGTATTTTGGTCTAAATAACCCAAAATGTGATGTTCACATATGTGGACGCCAGGTCCTAGGAGGTTAAAGCTCCATGAGTGAGCACCAGAACAAGTCTAGTCCATGAAGCCCCGCTCAGCAATCCGCCTGCAGCCAGTGTAGTAGCGGCTGATGCTAAACAACACCTCCAGCATGCATGTATGTATGAGTGTTTGTCCCAGAAAGTTAAAGGTGTTTTGGCCAGACATAAAAGACCCACTTACCCAAAACTAGGCAACCACCTTGAAAATTTAGAGTTTCTCGAATTTTCAAGAAAATTTTGAAAGTTCCAGTTTGTTAAAAAGGAGAAATTTTTAAAAATTTGAAAAAATGTGTTTTGAAAAAAAGCAATAGGAGGCAAAGAATAAATAAATAAAACTGCTATGAAATTAGAATATGAAAATTGGCAGCTCTCCTCCTAACACCCTCCCATCAGACAAATGCAGGCATCTGCTCGTGCTTCACAAAAGCTAAAACTCACTCAAAGCTGAGCTTCACATGGGATTCAAAAACTGCTCTGCTTTGTAAAAGTCCTCTACTTAACCCATCGCACTACTGCATATTTTCTGCACAAACTTTACTTTTTGCCCAAGTACTTCATTACAAGCTAGATTTTCTAGTGCCCTGAACGAGAGCCGAGAAAAAGTGCGAGTTTACTCCCCTCTTCATTCACATGAATTAGTGAGTGACACCAAAAATATGCTGCCTCTGCCAGCTTTATGCATCACCTTTAGGGTTGGAACTAATTATTCCGCCTGTGCTCAATTTGTCACTTAGTTTCTTGATAAATCAGTTCAGTCATCTGGTCAATAAACTGACTGAGAATACATTCAAATTTTGTGGTTTTGCCCCCGGAAACCACAGAAAAATATCTCATTTACTATTACACAACGCTAATAAAAGCATATCATTGCAACTGAAAAGAACAGAGCTATATCATGATATTAGTAATTATTTTTTTTAGAATAGCTGCCTGCCTTCTGGGCTTCAGCTCTGTGGTGAAATACTGATGGACATTTTTCAATTTTTGATACTAATAGAATACAATTTTTTAAAGAAAAGAAAATGTATGAACTCACACATTATTAAAAAAAAAACAACTCATTGGTTGCAGCCATATTCAGATGAAGCAGACACTCTTAACAGGAGAGGGGGTGCTTGAAGTTAAAGAAGAGCTTGCTGCTGCTGTATATAGTTGCATCATAATCTCACCAGAAAAACGCACTAAGCAGCTAATTGTACCATGTCTCTAAGATAAGTCAAGCTTTTTGTACTAAAATATCAGATGTCTATTCATATTAATGTACAGAATACACCTGCTTGCTGCTACTACTGCACATTCACCCAGTGTATATACTATATATATATATATATATATACATAATGTTCTTCCTCTACCCCCCCCCAATTTTTGCACATGTCGAGGAGCCAGAGCATACTTCAATCTGCTACAGTTTTCCTGCTTACCTGTCACACAGGAGCTTACTGTTAAGTAGGGTCCTGTGTCAAAACACTTAAATGCACTAATCTTACTCCCCTGCACGGTCAACATAATGCGTTGGGTTATTCAAAGCCAAAACAAAAACAAAAAAACGACTTCCTACATTTGTTTACGTGCTTTAGTTGCTATTAGGCTAAAGGTCGCCTCTTCACTAGTTCTCGGGCGATATTGGCTAGTGTCCACTCTTCAACTCCACTGACTGACCACCCTGGGGAGAGGCAGCAGCGAAGGAAGTGGCACTAGCTGGGCAGAGGTGGGCACGAGAGGGCTCAATTTTCACAGCACGAGCGACAAAAACCCACTCGTGTGTTAAGAAACACGGCGTGGATATCACAGCCTCTCTCTCTCACACACACGCACAGCGTGGGAAGTGTTCGCTTTTGGGTAACACAACAACAACACACTGCCGGGGCGAACACGAAAGGCGTTCAAGATAAGAGAAAAACTTGACAGTGACATCTTTACCTGGAGTTTTCCTGTGCCCGGTTATAACTGCCTCACCACTTACTGGATGCAGCCAGGTTGTACTCTTGGCTTCTTCGCTGTTGAGAAGGAGAGACAGAGAGAAAGAGCGAGAAATGCGTTCAAATCCAGCGGTGACTTTGTTCGAAATAGAAACGAGCAGAATGACTTGAAGCGTTTGCCTTTGGAAGGGATATTTACTTAACGAAGAAGACACGTCCATCCTGAGTAACACCATAACTCCAGGAAGACGGGAGACAAGAAATCCACTCGGGTTGTAGCTCCGCCGCCATGTCTGGCAGTACTGTATGACAATCGCGCGGCTCCGCTCTCCCAGGCAGCGCGTACACGGAAACCTTGGCAACGGCGGGTGGCTGAGAGCAGGGTGTAGAGCAGACAGGTAAAGTCCATTCATTTGTATGGGAGAATAATGGCTGGACAGCCGAGGGGTTTTTTTAACCCAAATTTAATTTTATTTCTTGACTGACACAATAAAAGAGTTATTTTACTTTTAGGTAAGTTTTTGCATCGCTGTGTACATGGCTTTAGTCAAAAAAGTCCTTTTGGATTTATGGTTCTTTATGATTCTCTACGACTTAAATATACAGCCAGGATATTAAACCACATGTCCAATCAGCAAACTCACATGACAGCAACTCTGTGCATTTAGGCATGTAGACATAGTCAGGGCGACCTGCTGAAGTTGAAAACTGAACATCGGTTTCCCAGCAGCGACTTTTTAAGTGGTATGGTTGTTGGTGCCACATGGGCTGGTCTGGGTATTTCAGAAACTCCTGATCGTCTGTGGTTGGGTGGGATTTTCCCCGAAGATCCATCTCTGGTGTTTACAGATAGTGTAAAAACATGTACTCTGCGCAACAATGTCTCTCACAATGTCTCCTCTCACAATGAAGTGAGAGGAGACTGCTTTAAAATGCGCACCTGGGTTGTAACTAAATTTGTTGCTGTAACGGTGTAGGATTAGATATTTTCTTAGTACACGTAGTCACGCTCAAATCATATCAAACTGTTTTTTGATTTGTTTTGTTTTTTTAAATGAAAATGTATTCAGTATACTACATTGGTCTCCAGAGTCAGCAGATCTCAATCCAGTAGAGCAGCTTTGGGATGTGATGGAAGAGATGTGCATCATGGATGCACAGCCAACAAATCTGCAGCAACTGAGTGATGCTATCATATCGATATGGACTAAAATCTCTGACCAGTGTTTCCAGCACCTTGTTGAATCTATGTCAAGAAGACTTGACATAGATTTCTAGACATAGAAGGCAAAATGGAGTCCAACCCAGTACTAGCAAGGTGTACCTAACAAAGTGTTCGGTGAGTGTATATTTTCTGTTTTGCACCCTTACACTCTTCACATTCTTTACATGTTTTTTTTTCCTTCTATGTCTCGTCTGTGGGATCTGGTTGCTACATCATAGTACAGATGTCAGTGGTGAATGCAGGCGCCCATCTCACACATTTGTTCCCACCAATAATAACATAACTTCCAGGCATGTTGAATTGGCACCTGATGACTGATTTTAAAAAATTTTCTTCTATATAAAAAAAGACATTTCTATCATAAACGGGGGCAGAAAAGGTCTAAAATTCACCAGAAGGAAATTAAGTGTCTGACATTCAGTAATTCCTTGGGGAGGACCTCGAGACCTTCTGCTTAATCCACCCTCACCCCCCAGTGCTCAAACAAAACCTGTGCCCATGGCTGTCGTTGTAGCTTTTCTACATACAAAGGCACATTAAGCATAAGGGGGGG